GAATTAAACATTCATGAAACAAGATCAACATAGTGTATTTTATAAAGACAATATTCCATCACTTACTCTTGTCGAATAGTACTTGTAAAAAATTGTAAAAATAAAAGAATATATGTTTATACGAAACAATTAAGGAATGAAATACACATAAACTACGTACACAGATTTATATTCTTCTTCTTCTTCTTCACTTTTTTAATATGCAAATTATTAATTCATACTGATTCGCTAATTTCTGTCATACCGTGATGTATACTACTGATGTCGACGAATATAAGTAGCAAATATTGTCCACTACAATACCTGTTTTAATTGTACCATCCACAACTCATTACAATAATGTAATGCATATTTATTACCAATATTTCAAGGATAGTTGTATGCTTTTTAGTGATTAAATAAGTCCTTTGATAAAATCAGTTGCATGTAAATGTAACTATATTACAATGATAAACTTTATGTTTCCAACATTATTTTTTGTGTGGACTGAAAATAGTCAAGTTTGTATTAAATGGCTTACCATGTACAGCAGCTTATAGAGAAAAGGATCAAGAGGATATGAAAATCGAATAAATATGTAAAGCATATTCGTTAAAGAATAAAGTTACGGTAGTAGAAAGTTATAGCTTTGGTTCAGAGAAATACTTTGAGTGACTTTGAAACTGATCAAACAGATGTAAACTGGTCAGAGTTCGGCTGCAGTGCAAATAGTACACTGTATTAAGTTATATAATTATAGAAGAGACAATATTTTAGAACTTAGGAATAGTAGAGTTTAACTGAACCAACCAAGATAAAACATCACTAACTCGATAATTTATTTCTCAGGTCGTGTAAAATAAAACTTACATATTACAAAGAAACATGGCCTCCCTATTACAGCGCTATGTCTAATAGCTGACTTCATCCAAAATATAATACTATGTAAAATGATGTTATCTCTAGAGTCATGGCACTCTCCGTAAGTCATATGTTGCCTTTACCTTATAAGAATGCGGTTCTTCAATACTTTGACTTTCGGTAAGTAATAGACTAAGAGATAATCATGTAAACTAGCTGAATTACACAATCTCGTCAAAAACAGTATTTCGTTTTGCATTAACTGAATATTCATAAACACATTTAGAAACTGCGTCGTACTCCAGTAATCCATATGTTCTTTCTAAATAATCGACTCTATTCGATTGAAGGTAATCAATGTAGCTTAGTTCTACACATTAAAATTGAGTGACAATTATTGTGAACACACATTATCAACTAGCTAGAAAGCATCAAAATGTACTTGCTGAGACTCATATTCTATGAATACAAAATTTACTATATTATATGTTGAAGAAAAGTTGGTACTTTTCTAACTGTATTACACCGTGTTTGAATAACGAGGAATATAGAAAATGCACATTTCCACTTGTGTGGTTAGACTGTTTTCATCAAAATGCATTAACTGAGACTGATCAAACCGACAGATTATACAAATATTCAGCATATGATCAGCAAAATTCGAATGAAGAAATTGAATATTACAAAGTCCAACTTACAGTCTGGTAATGAAATGTGAAAAGTGCAACAAATGTGATTAATTAAGATTGAGATGTAAATCATATTGGTTATCATGAACACTCATAATTGATATACGATATCAATGTTATCAATATGTAATGGTAAACCAATAATTCATATTGTTGCACATGAGTCGATTATCATTGATTCATTATAAAGAGTAATTTAAAAGTAAACTGAATGCACTCATTAGGAAATCACAGAGTTACAAAGATTAGTTTAGAGAAATGTTCTGTTTTCACAGAATTCATTTCTGAGGCGTACAATCGGATATATCTTGTTTCTCAGAACGATATTCATAATTTATGGCCATGTAGGGCTCTCGAATTCTGTTGCATAGAATATTTATTGATTAATCTATACAAATCCCTCAATAAGAGTAGGTGAAATTGTTAGTTGACATAGATTCTGAATATCGACTGGTTGTAAAATACTAATTACAGGGTTTCTGTAAAGAAGAGTATTCTAAGTGAGCAAGTGAGTTGCAAATCGAATGTCAGTATTGTAATCGATGTTCGTATACAGGATTTTGTTTGATGCGAAAGCTATCTGTACTCTGAATATTTTGAATATTATACATATATCGACAGGCCTTGATGGAAAAGACTGTGAATGATGTCACCACTGAAAAGTAACGAAAACACGCAGCAAACATGTATTTCGACTAGTGAGATGATAGTCGAAATACATACTTGTGAAATTATAGAGAAGTTCTAGAATTGTCGTTGTGGTAGTTGTGATGGTAGTCTCAGTGATTATATTAAAATCATTATTGCGGTTAGTGTTGGTACAATATGTTGTATTAGTGAGAGTCGAACAGTTGTACGATAGTCGATGATGCGTGTAGATATCCACAAAATAAAATAGCAAGTCAAATTAACTTTAATATCACATGATAATAATGAGGGCTCCAATAGAGTTGATGCAAATTATACTTGTGAATTAACCATCATTTATATAATTACCATAATAAGCTATTATTCTTGATTCTACTATACCATCTGTTTCTCGATTCAACTGTGTAATCGCACCGATATTAATCATCTAGGAAGTGTGTTACTGTAAAATGAGAAACATTTTGTATTTCGACTTGTCATTAACAATGCATGTGATGCATGCATGCTCACATTGTCTCCAGAGCATTTGAATTAGACATTTGTTTGCAATTGAAGTAAGTTTGAATTGTTGAAACGAGGTTTACGATTTTGTGTGTGACATTCACCATTCATCAATAGACATGACGAATCTGATCAGATTCATTGAGTATTTGTAGATAAATAAAACGCATACTGAGATCTGATGGCTGTTTATCATACAATTTTCTAAAACTACAACATGCTTTGTACAAATGTGACAGTATTAAACATTCTTGACGAGATAAAATTTGGCATACATTTTATCTTTATTTGACATCACATTTCTGAGGTATGTATGGATGTTTTAGTCAATATCTGATTTAGCGAGCACTATGGAAGGGTTATTGTATAATGTGCAACATGTTGTATTCGAAATGACAATGACGAGATATTTTCATTGATACACGTCTTCGATTTTATAAATATTTTTGTCATTTCGTTATCTGTTTCCTGTAGTTCATTTGATAGGCAGTGATTATCGTGTTGTTCAATATTACGTAAGGATACACTATCTCATCATAGTTGTGGATCATCGCATATTACTTTGCTCACTTATACTACTGTGATGAACGCTACTCACGAGACCACTCGTAGTTGGTTACCTACTTACTTACTTACGCCTGTTACTCCCTATGGAACATAGGCCGCCGACCAGCCTTCTCCAACCCACTCTGTCCTGGGCCTTCCTTTCCATTTCTATTCAATTTTTGTTCATTTCCCTCATGTCTGTCTCCATTTCTCGACGTAATGTGTTTTTTAGTCCTCCTCTTTTCTTTCGGCCTTGAGGATTCCATGTCAGGACTTGCCTTGTGACGCAGTTGGGTGCTTGTAGGTAGTACTCATACATAACTAAACTGTTTGAAAAAAGGTCGGTAATGGATAGAACATATGTCATGAAAATCATCAGACCTCAACACGACGTTAGCCCTAACTTGGAATCCTGAGTGGAAACGAAAAACAGGAAGGCCAAAGAACACACTTTGTCAAGAATTGGAAGCAAACATGAAAAGGATGGATAGCAACTGGGAGAGATTACTTTGGACAGAGTTGGGTCAAGAACGCTGGTAGGGAGACCTATGCTTCTCCACAGGGGATAACAAGAGTAAGTAATGAAAAAAACAACGTGTATCATATTCAGAGATAAATTGCTTTTGTTCGAAAAAAGATTTTGTCGATTTTAAAGAGTACAAATACTCCAAATACACATCCTTACTATTATGGCGAAAATAGTCTTATTAGAATACATTGAATATTAGTACTTAACTTGAATATAAATAAGCAATATATATATATGTCATGTCCCAATGAGTAGAAAAACTAGATTTTCTGATGTTTCGTGACTTAATGTAAGTCACTTCTTTAGAGAACAAATAACCAAGTTAAAATTAATACAAGTTTAAATAGTACAACGGAACAATGCAAGAATAATATATGATCAGGCAAAAACAATTCTGAACTAGTTAATGTCATGTCATTTCGTTCAAGTTGATTCATGTATGTGAATTTGTGTATACGTATGTATGCACTGTTTAAGGATGAAAAATTGTGTGACCTTTATGATGAGAAAGGATAGAGTTTAATTTGTAAGATAATAGTGTGAATTGTAAATAAAATCAGACTATGTGGCTAGGATGGATAGTCCAAGTGTAAGTCCAACTAGTAAGGCCTTCTTTTCTATTGAGAGTAGTACGATTAAGCATCATATGGAACGCTTCAACTACTCTCCTTTCTGTGTAATTGGAAAAGCATTTTTGCAACATTTGGATATTTTTTGAAATCGATTTAGTGGTCGTTGAAAATGGCGTGAACTACTATTGCCGATTTAATTTGAAGTTTATCCAGTTCTACGGGATTGTTAGTAAAGTAACCTCCTAATAATCCCGTAGAATATTACAAATCTATTATTTATTTATTTATAACAATCTACTCAATGCTCAATTTATTCGAAATGATTAAATTAAACTTTGGTATAATGATACCTGATTAACTTGATTATTCAAACACTATTTTATACATGAATGAAAGAGTATACATTTCGAAAACAAACTTACAGCCTCCCATCGCAATTTGGAAGTGTACGACAACCAAGATAAAGTTCAATAATATTGTACAGTACATTCTTCTTTAAAGAATATTCATTACTTCATTTCATTTTATACTATTATGATGTGATAGTGATTCGTTAATTTTAATCTCTACCCCACAGTCTGTAATGATTGGTATGTTTTATGAAAAATTATTTTTTATAATTTAAACTGTACAGACACAGATCAGTGGATAATGAATTAATACCAAAATACATACCCGGGAAGTTTGAAACAAGTTCTGATGTTTGCAGTATAATAGTACTGGTAATAATAATAATAATAATAATAATAATAATAATAATAATAACAGAACGATGGCAGTAATGGCAGTAGTATCAAAAGCGATGTGAGTAGTAGTAGTAGTAATAGTAGTAGTAGTAGTAGTAGTAGTAGTAGTAGTAGTAGTAGTAGTAGTAGTAGTAGTAGTAGTAGTAGTAGTAGTAGTAGTAGTAGTAGTAGTAGTAGTAGTAGTAGTAGTAGTAGTAGTAGTAGTAGTAGTAGTCATGTGATTAATAATAATAATAGTGATAATATTTCAATACACTATATATACTTAGTCTTATTTATTAACACCAGTGTTTTATGAAATCTCAGAACAAAGTTTCTGGGTTCGAGTTTCACGTGTGAAGTCATGGATGCGCATTGCTGAGGAGTCCCATACTAGGATGAAACAATCATCCAGTGCTTTCTGGTTTTCATTGGTAGTCTAATATTGATCAGTTCACGATGATAATTCAAGAAGTCAACAATCTTCACAATCCTGTACTGATAAATTCCAGTTAGTTGTAACGAAATTTAAGTTTACGATGAATGATGTTGTGATAATGTTGATGTACTTATTATTACATGTCCACGTATAGATATGTCGAAAATGGCGCTGTGTCTTCGTAACCCGAACAATGAAGTTGTCTTATAAGTTAAAAAGATAAAGCTTGTTTGAATGGATTTTACAGTTTCTTTGCTCACGTTTTCATATGCTGGTTTTGTCCATTTAACACATAATTAACATAAGTACCATTGTAAATATATATCTTAGTAGTATAAAAGAGCCGAAATGAATATTAGATTATCAGGATCTTAAAATTTGAGGCTGGTGAAGTTAAATAATCAATGAAGAAAGAGCGTAATTGATGCATTGTAACGTTGCAAATATTTTGTAAAAGAGAAATTTAGAAACTCCAGGCACATCAGAATTTCGTACACTACCGAGTTATTGATTGGTTAGATACCATACTTAATTATTCTCAAAACTGAAATAGTTCAATTAGATGTATGAAGTACCCTATCTCAGGAAAATTATGTGATAACAAGCACCAGTATATGATTGAGGAATTCACAGTTACTCTATGCATAACACTATTCTCGAGATTCAAATGATAATGAAATTCAATAAAGATTTCACTATTTCCATCAAAGTTGGATGCATAGCTTGTTGAAGAGCATCCTACTGTTAAAATTTCAATTTTAATTCCATAGGGAAAATCAAAACTACTACAAGTGGATAGTTTGAATATTATATCATCCGACGTGATCGAACGAACGAACGAACAATATTTAACGATTCACCTTTCATCTAAATAAGAAAATTGTGGATTTCATATAACACGTCTGATCTTAAGCATTTGAAAATAATTCTGGTGAACGGTTACATGTTCAAATAAGTTATAATGTTGATAGAAAATTTTAAAATCATAAATTGGCTCATTCAAAATTCAGCTCGTTTCTTCAAGTTGACTTTTTGGCTGGATAAAATAATCATAACTTACACTGTGAATATCACATCATCTGTCTGTAAAATCTGATTGATTTGGGAAGTAGACTGATGTTCAAAGGTCAAATAACGAGTATAGGCTTACTGAACAAAGAAATATGTTAGATTTCAATGTGGATACCAGTATCATGCCACAATACTTTTCATCTAATTAATAATAATGGTAATCGATATATGATCCATTTGATATAACTAGTAACATTAAATGTACAGAATAAAAATGTGATAGAAGAAAGTTTTAAGTATACTAATTCCGTAATTGTTTAGGTAGTACATGTATTACAGCGATTCAATGCATCAGCCGGGAATTCTTAATATTTCTTAAATGGACAACCTGTTGATTTATGAACGAAGAGTAATTAAGGTCATTTCGTGTGCCAGATCGAATTAATGATAACTAAATACAACTAGAGAAATTAAAACGAAAACAGAGAGCACGGAACAACAAAGCAGTAATTGCTAAAATATGTCAATTAGGTCTACCGAAATACGTGTGTCATGTGACACAGTGATATACTGTTAATGTTATTCAAATGAGTTAAAATTGCTAGGGACCGTGTCAACATAAAATGACGGCAAGTAGGTGGCTAAACATTTAAAGTTCCTATAATATCACTTGTGGAATGAGATACAATTACAGGTGCTAGAACATTCAATACATTTTCAGAGAAGCAGCATGCATCGACTCAGCGAACAAATAATGGGAGTGATTTTATCGTACGGATAGATTGTGATAGGTTATTCCAGAGTCTTGAAAATTTGCAGTTAATGCAATTCACTTAAAGAGATGATTTAGAATAAGTTTGTTTCACTAGTGCCAAGGAATTACGGATGTCAGAATGAGAAGTTCCTGAATATTGAATCACGTGATTGGATGTAAAGGATAGTTTGTTAAGTAGTTTGAAGAAAAAGATAAGATTTAGTTTGAGTTTTCTCTTCCATGAAGGGTCTAGCCCAAGTTTATTACATCTAGAATTATGAGTTAAGGTACAATCAGCTTCAAGAATACGAAGTGTAAACCGTCTCTGTACTGATTCCAACCTTAATTTATCCTTTATACGTGTACTGCTAAGAATAAACTTGCAATATTCTAGAGGAGGTCGAACACAAACTTTGTACATTAAAATACGTGACTCATCGCTATAAAAGTTTCAAGTTATGTAACCTACTAGACGTTGAGACTTAGAGGTCTGTTTCAATGTCTGTTCTGTAAACGACAGGTCTTGGGATTATCTAAGTCCTAAGTCTACTACTGTATGTAAGCTAGATAACACTTCTCCATTTATGGTAAGGTCTAGGTTGAGTGATGTATCGGCGAAGCATATCCATGCACATTTAGCCGTATTTAGCTCCAGTTGCCATTTTAAGCACCACTGTGCTACCTTGTTAAGCTCCATGCTGATGCAATTTTGCATATTTTTCAGCTCATGTGGAGAAAATGAATATACTACCCTAAGATCATCTGCATATAGAAGAGGCTCACCTACACAGAAACTTTCACAAATATCATTGATAAACACTAAAAAGAGCAAAGGGCCTAAGAAACTACCTTGTATTACACCACTTCTAACAGGGACAGCGTTAGACAATGAAGAGCTAATTTTAACTATTTGATGTCGATTGCTGAGAAAGGAATCAAACCAAGCTAGCAAAGGATTTTGAACCCCATAAGATGCGAATTTACCTATAAGTAGTTGGTGGCTAACCATGTCAAAGGCTTTAGAAATGTCCAGATATAACACTAAGACTAGATATTCTTGGCTACGTAGAGAATAGACTAAACTAAACATGTCAAAACGACATGTCATGTAAGATCGATTTTTGAGATATCCATGTTGAGTATCATTGATAAATCTCCAGCGAGTAAATAGTTGAAAAGTTCATCACTTATAAATTTTTCCATAATCCTAGAGATAACTGGAGTAATATATATCGGCATATAATTGATCATGTCAGTCTTATCTCCAGATTTGTAACGTGGTATGATGTACGCAGTTGCCCTACAGTAAGGGTAAGAACCAGTCTCCATACAGAGAGAGTAAACAGCTTTAGAAGAAGAAGTGGAATATCTGGACCACCATATTTGTAGAGAAAGGATGAAATCCCGCCTGCTCCATGACCTTTCGAAAGCTTAAGGGTATTTATAGCCTTATTATTTTCATGCATGTGAAGGAGATAGATTTTATTGAGTTGCTAGTCACGTACAAAACTCTTGAAGCAGAGCCACTTATGATTCGTACACCATTCACAAAAATACCACTGAAAAGATCTGCTATAGTTTTAGAGTTGTATATAAAAGTGCTATCATGCTGGATGCATAGTATATCAACATTTTGAGTTGCTTTAGAACGTTTATTGAAAAGGAGAGTTAAGTTTTGTACCTTTGAGTTAGTATTAAGTGCTAGTATCTTGAATTTGAATGTACTACATACCAGATGTACTTGTTATTGTTTACTGATTTGAGGTCTTGCTAAATTATGTTAATCCGATCTGTTTACCAGTAGTGAATATAGAGTACTTTATCATTTCAATGTGTTTCACTTCCAAGGTTTACTGATAGTTAAACTATTTACTATAAGCATAGATTTAATAAACAAAATGTTTTGCTATATTTTAAAGTATATACCAACATTCCAAATGCATGTTGTTTCCAACCATGTAGGAATTAGAATCAACAAAGGAATGTATGAATTCATTATTCTTAGTTTATTTAAGTTCACAGAAACAAAACAAATTCTGTGGTTTGACCATAATAGCACATAGTGTCACGCTTTAGTATAACCGATAGTTAGATTTCACAGCTTTCCGTTTAAATGAATTTGCGTGTTGGTTGTAATTTATTTAAACTATTGCTTTGTTGTGTATACTAATATCTCAAGTCTTAGCAGATTTGAGTTCAACCTAACCATTGGGCCCACAAGTAGAACTGCCATTCCTATGTCTTATTTCTGAAGTTTTCTGTACTTTTTTCATCAATACATTTGCTGCAGTATTTGGACTCCGTTGTTTCGCAATGGCTGATATTTATTTGACTGCTGATGGTGTATGGGAAATAGAAAACGTGTATCCTATTGACTTTGAGAATTTTAAAATGAGTGAAACATTACCTAAATGCATGAATCAAATCCTCATTATGCTGAATACAATCATCTCCACTGACTTGTAATGAATTTTCATCGGTCTATCTCAAATATGATCTTGATGGTACTATCACATGAGAAAATTTGAAATGAAGATGTTTTAAAGTCTCAACCCATTCCTCACACATTTATTATTGTTCTGTATGTTTGTAGTATACAGTGCAACAGTTGTCACCTCATTGTAGTTTAGTATTTTCATTTTCGTTCACATCGTTTTTCTAATACTTAGTATTGGTCGTTACATGAAGGACTCAATATTTGAAGCCACAAATAAATAGTTTCAAATAAATGTTGCTTATGAATGTATGTAATCCAATACTTCATGTCATAAATAATCAAATGAAAACCAAAATAGAAGACAAATACAACGGTATTCATACATGTTAATTATACCAACTGGTATCAGGGTATCAGGCATCAGGGTATCAGGTATCAGGGGATATGTATGATGAGATGTACATTAGAGGAATTGTTAAGCGTTAATACCATATTTTCTAAAACTAGATAACTGTCAAAGGCTGAAATAAAGTAGTTGATTCCGTTCTTTTCAACGTTATTTGTTATATCAACATGAAATCGACTCACATTCACATG